GCCCAAGGACACTTTATCTCTCCATAGGTACCAAACATGGCTCTGGCTGGAGTGGATTGGTCATGTTGCTCCCTCCCTCTTAGCAGCATTTGCAGGGAGCCCTGGCACACAAACAGGAAGCAGCAGAGGGCAGAAAGCATGTAGAAGTGCTGGAATGTTTTGGGAGGAAGAGTGGGTTGCTCAGCATTGCTCTGTATGGACTGCTCATCTCTCTGAGCAGCCAGGCTTCAGAGCTGATGGAGAGGCTGCTCTGAAAGGACAATGTGGTGACACCCTTCCTTGGTGGAATTCACTGTTAAATGCAGGTGAAAGAGACGCGCTGTTGATTCAGGAGGAGACAATTTTTGGGAGGGAGCCATGGCTGATGGACCTTTTATTAATGTTGATTGCCTTTCATGGACAGTTTGCCTCAGGGCCTGAGGTCCTCAATCCAATCACTGGTTGATGATTACATTCAAAGTGTGCCAGAGTGGTCCAGAAGACAGTTTGTTAAGTGCCTTAGGTTAGTTTTAGAAGACCGAAGTACTTTAAGACATAATTCATTCTGCTGTTTGATATCCTACTGACAGTGAGGATCTTTTCTTTGCCTCTGTGTGAGAAAAGTAAAAATATGTTAACCTGGTAAACTCCTGTACGGTAGAGAACAAAGTGCATCTTTTTTCCTCATTAGCTCTTCTGGGAAGGGTTTTGGCCCCCTGATCTTTTTTCGCTTTCCGAGGAAGGGCATCCTTCCCAGCGCCTCCTAACTATGGACATACCCAGGTTTTGGACTACTGGTTTTCAATTGCCAAATGACATGCCATGGCATTGATGAAGGGAGGCCACAATAAGTGCCCCAATCCTTAACCAAGCGTACAGGGAGGAGTGTGCAACATTCCAGGAAGCTGAGTCTATGGGGACAGTCATTTGTTGCCCTACCCTACTTGTCCTGCTCACTATATATGCTCAGCCATACACTGGATTTCAAAGGCTTTGTGTGGCCTCATTACACTTAGCAGTCTTAACAACACCAGCAACAGCAACATTAGTATTGTGCAGGCAGAGACTTTTTTGCTGAGCTGCAACAGGTTTGTAGTTTGGTAGGTAACACTTTAGAATTTCTTATCCAAGGGGTTAAAAGTTGTTAAACTGTTCTGGCTGGTTTGATCACATGAGTTATTACATTTGTAACTCAGATGAAGGATGAAGTCACTGAGGGCAAGTAAGGCATGGGTGTAACACTGCAATAGGAGCATCATCATGGTTGCAGGGAGTATTTACACTTCTTTCCTGTGGAACACGTATGCAGCAGTGCAGCACATAACACGTACAGGCCCTTACCTGAATCTCCCTGGAAACTGTCACTTGAAGGAGGGAGAGCAGCTGTGGTGCACAGGTGTATGTGCTGTACTTCCCCCAGCCGTTTAAGAATGACTGACCATGGGACTCACGTATAGCAGGTGGAGCAGCCCATTGGCCATATTCATGTGGCTAGCTCTCATGCTGATGCCTCCTAACAAAATTGCTTGAGAAGAACAACTACTGTGCTATCTCTCATTATTGCAAACATATCTAAATATAACCCAGAGCTCATTTTCATAGGAACAAGTACTGGCAAGTCCTAAGCTGGAGATGGGAATGTTTGATAGCTCTCAGGTGCAGTGCCAGCCCTTGGCTGTGGTTCATGTGTCTCCTTCCTTATGCCAAGAGGTCTTAATAGGTAACAGCAAAAGTTGGACAGATCTGGATATCTGAAGGGAAGTGACTTGCAGGGTTCAGATTGCAATCTGACGCAGGTTTGTGATGTAGTGTGGCCTGCTGGGGTGCCCATGAGGTGAGAAAGATTGAAGTCATTCAGATGTAGCAGACATTACAGTGATGCTCTCCCCAAAATTATCTCTGGAGATCCTGATATCAACTCTCCTCCTCTTTTAATGAATGATGAAATCTCCCTCCAGTCTCATTGGGAAAGCCAAACTGCATGTCACAGTGTATGTGGTGCCTTTTTCATGAAGTCTTTCTACAACGTCCTATATATAAAACAGGATTATTTCCTTTTCTCATTCGCTCAGCTGGAGGTGAAACTGCCATTCCTGCCTTTTATATAATCCTTCACCACATTTTTTCTTTGCCTGAGTACATCTGTTCGTTCCTTCTAAACTATCTGCTCTGACACTCTTTTTAAAATTGCCAAACGCACCTCAAATTTCAAAACTTTTGTTCCCGCATGTATTTCCTTCATGTGGAGAAAAACATGTGTTCCAAGCAGCAATTCTACATCGCTAAAGTTATTTTATGTCTTTGCTGCAAAGCCGTTAAAAAAGAAAGATCAGAACTTCTCTAAGTGTCATGAAATTTCTGAAGTTACTTCAGTTTATTTTAAGACAGTAGACTGTAACTGTTTGAGATCAGAAGCTGCTACATATATTACTAGCTATCCTTGCTGGGAATGGGGAGAGGGTAGCAACTACCAGGAGAAAAGTCATGTAGACAACCGGGATGGTGACCATTTTAGCCACCTCAATTTCAGCCACCAATAAAAGTGAATCAGCTCTCTATGAAGCCATAACTGAAGGCTGGAGTATTTAAGTCTCCTCCAGTGACGGTTACTGAAGTAAACATGTATGAGTTCAAAATAACAAGAGTAGGCAACATGAGTTTTCAGTTTGCTGATGTCACTCATAGTCTATGCTTTTCCTCTGTCTATATGCTATGAAGTGTCTTCGTAGCTGCTAAATGTCATCTCAGCATTGCTACTTTGTTTCACTACGTAGTCATGTCAATGGAAAGTCTCCTGCACTGATTTACAAACATATATAAGATATAGGGTTTAAAATATATGTATTAATTTAATTCAATTCTGGTAATTTGTGAAGATAATATCTTCAATATCCACATCCACTCCAATTTATTTAATTCTTGTATCCTTATTTTATGTTACAGAACTTTTATAAAGATCCTGAAAGTCCCAATTTGATTGGCCCTTCTCCCTATTATCTTCCTGTTGGAACATCACACAGCTCAGGTGCACTTTTCCTGCAACCTTTTTTCTGATACTTTTTCCTTTTAAGGTTCAGGTTGCAATTTTTCCGTTCATTGCATTTATTAATAGTTTTGTATTCAATGAAATACAATTTTTAAAAAAGTAAAATATTTTCATGTTATATACACATCCAATATTTACAAAAGAGTCATTGTAAATGAAACAATGAGGTGGAAATAGGATTATACTTACCTGAAATTACCTATTCATATAACCTGAAATTTTGGTTGCTGATATCAACTTAGATACTGTGTTTACATTATATATTTGATTCTATCAAAGGAAATAAGAGGGCAGGGCTGAAGTGTAGTCTTTGTGATTCTTAAATAACTATAAAAGGCAATGAATAATACATTTGTTTATAATCAGGTACAGTTTCATTAAATATTATTCCCGAGCTCTGTTCTGTCCAGTGTATTACATCATCTTCAACCAGATATCAATATTGATTGAATTCTTCCTGGTTCTTTAGGAACGACCTATGGCCTACCTCTCCCCTTGTTAAAACTCAGGTTATCAGAAAAGGCTCTAGTTTTTGTCCTGAACGTATTTCCTTATTTCAGTGATGGCTGTAAAATACATAAGGAAGAATTAGGTGGGTTTTATTTAGAGTGAGAAGAGGATTCAGAATTGGCTTTAGATAAACCTTCGTGTAGACATAGTGTAAGATGTATTAAAAACAAAACAAAACATTAATATGGTTTTAAATTCTAGAACTATTAAATACATAACAAGATAATACTCTCTGGGCACGAAAAACATAACTACTAAACTGCATGACTAGCCCTTAAACATCTTAAATTACCAGAGAGACAAAGATAATTTCAGTAAATATCACCAGAAGTTTAGGAGCTTGCTTTCTTTTACAAAGCTGCAGTTTTGTCACATTAGCTATCAAATGACTTATTTCCTTGACAGTGACCCGCAACATGAGAAGCAAATAGCTTGAATTACTTAATAATTGGTACAGAAGTTCATATGGAAAACAAACAAAAGAAAGAAAACACCCAACACAAGGTACAAGGGTAAGTTTGCCTCCCTTGTACTGAAATTCCAGGAAGACAAAATAAAACAACTCTGTGTTCATAAATCTCCAGATATTAACAAATTGCTTACAGCTCCACAATAAGTGCAAGGAGGTGTACGAGACCAAATTTCACTAGACTTTAGCGTTTTAGGAGGTAAAACACATGGTCAAAGGAACCGGTTCTTAATCCATATTCAGAGCTGAAAGACGAGTTTGTGTTACTTCCTCCTCTTCAAAATCAATTTAAACTGTCAAAATAGCTTTAAATGGGCAGATTTCGACTTTGACCCCAAGAAAAGCCTCTAAAGAATCAGACTGAGTCGTTGCTGTAACATTTATGTCAAAAGGAAATTTTTAATTTGCAAGGAAAAACAAAAGTTTCTCTCCTCAGAGGTCTCTCCAGCAGCAGCACACGGGATTTATCGCCTCTCCTTTAACTCAGCCTGCGTGTTTGCGGCTGGAAACTCTCCCGAACGCAAGTACCTGCTCTTTTCCTCCTTCACCGGGGAAATGGGGCGATTTGGTGGCAGAAATTCCGAGGAAAATACACTTTTGTTAGTCCAAAGAAACACAAATCGAGCACACCGAAGGGCTCCCTGGCCGTGCAGCGGGGCGGGCTCTGCAACGCACCAATCACCGCGCGGCTCCTCTCTAAAAATACGAGCATCTGACCCGCGCCAGCCCAATTGTGTTCGCCTGCTCCGCAGAGGACGCCGCCGCGATGTCCGAGACCGCTCCCGCCGCCGCCCCCGATGCGCCCGCGCCCG